CACCGGAACGACGCCGTGATCTACTCCTGCTCGTCATGTCCCCCGTGATGCTGAGTACGCTGCAGGAATGCGCCCATCCACTCGCCAGGACGGTCGGGGCGGCACACTGCGGCAGTCAACGCCGTGCGCCGCGCCGTACGCAGTACACACAGTCTCACACGTTCGGTTCGAGTCCCACTCAGCGACTCTGGAGCTCGAAACGCGTCTCGAAGTTTGGCCGCCTCCACCGGTATTGTGGCAGATCCACTGCGCGCCGGCTCGGCTCCCCGTCGGCCGCGAGGTTCATCTCGTGCCGCGGATGGCGCTCGTCGGCGAGGCGCGGTAATAAGGCGCGGCTGGAACATCGACCGCCAGCGCCAGCCGCCAGTGTCGGTGAAAGGCTCGAAATAAAATCCTTCCGGAATAAAGGCGAGGGCGGCAAGGGCCCCGCGAGGGGAGGGGAGGGGAGGGATTCGCTGGCGCGGCGAACAAGCCGGCCGTCCCTCCTCCAAACGTTGCCCCCGCTAAGTGAGGCCCTCTCTGGGGCGCTCGGCGGCAGACCGGCAGCGCTCGCGGCGCGCGGCGCGGTGCGGGGCCCTTGTCGGGGACCTCTCCTCTCCACCCTGGCTCGCCCTGGCTCCAGCCGCGCGGCGCCGCGGCCTCGCCGGTCGGGGCTGCTTGTCAGGTCCGCTGAGAAGCTAGCAGCGCTCTCTGCCGACTGATTCCGCACATCGCTCTCGTCGTCGCCCGTCGCCCCAGCGGGTGGAAACTCCCTAGGTGGGGCTGGGACCGGGTCGGGATCGGTCCGCTCGGGGCGCCACGGCCAGCAGACGAACTTGTCGCCCCGCATCGGTACCTTATTTTAAAGAAATCTACCCTAAATCGAAACATTTGGAGTCATATTCGGGTATCAAAATCAAGGTTATTGTCTAAAGAATGCATCTGAAGCATAGTTTTCTCTTTATAATCGAAATAGAAATAAGGGAGGTGATGAAAATACGATGGCTCGGTCGCGGGAAACGCTACCACCAGATTTTGTAACACTTAGTTTTCAATGTTAGAGCCCTCGGAGGCCATACATGTAAGCGAGCCGATTTTTCCTTACAAAATTTCGCTCGGCGTAGGATACATTTCCTTTTCATTGGACTCACCTTGCAAGAAATATCCCAAACAATAGTTGATGCGACGGAATGGTGTCTGCTTGTACTTCTCACTTCAACTCGATAAATAGAATACAAACCACTCGAATCAAAGCTGCATATCTGGCCTAATGCACGGCAAATTTAATGTAGATTCATTTTGCACACGCGGCTTTGGGAAATAAGGTCGGATTTCTTTACATTAAGTGGATTAAAAACACCAGACGCAAAGAGGCTGAAATGACCACTTTTACGGTCTCTACTAATGTGAGAAATCCGACCCATCTAGACACACGCGAGTTCTTGAGAACAAATCTTCAAACATGCCGTCGTGCATTTTGTTTAAAGGTTTTGGCACGAAACTAACCTCAAATTATACAATATGAATTCTAAAATACTGCAGCGTCAAACACCGTTGAAAGCGTCATCGGCCCGTGTCGTCTGGACCGGAGGACGGGACAGACTATGGCAAATTCACCGCTCGGCACAGGTTTGTATACTTTTCACAGTTCCACGATTGGGCATTGCATTTGGTTGATTTTGAGAATGGATTCTCCTCAGGAGGTTAGTGCGGAAGTCAATGAAAGCAACACACGCTACCCGAGCAGCCAACATGTCGGCAGGTGCAACTGTCACAAAATGGAAACAAAACTGTGCCGAGCGGTGAATTTGCCAAGGCGAGACGGCGTGCGTGGCAGTGTTGCCGAGGCGTTCCGAGAGGGGTGTCTGTTCGCCAATCACGCCACGCGCCCCGCCCGCCTCCCGCGCCCCGAGCGGGGCCCCGAACGGGCGAACAGAACGGAAGCGGCAACAACACGCTGACCGGGGCAACCGGGGCGTCAAGAAGAGGAGCGCGTCGACGAGAACGAGAGCGAGCACTCGGCGAATGCTTAAACGTAAAAGCGCACGGGGAGCGGATTCATTGTCTCCATTGTCCATTGTCCCCTCGCCTTGCTGCTGCTGCTGGGGTCACGGCCGCCGCGGCGCCGCGCCGCGAGGGCCGAGGCGCGGTGTAAACTATTTACGCTCCGACGGGGGTCACTGCGGTCCAGAGGGAGGGGCGGGGTGGGGCGGGGCGGCGGGCCGGCCTAGGTGGCTTGTTACCATCACAGCCCCTAATAGGGTGACCCCGGCCCGGCCCGCCCCCGCCCGCCCTCGCCCGCCCCCACTCCGCTCGGCGCCTCTCTGTCTCTCTCTCGCACCCGCAGGACGAGCCCTTAGCTGCCTCATCCTTTGCACTCCACCCCACCGCCAGCAGTAGTAGATCAATATTGAGTGAGTCAAGTGGCTACGGTGTTTGTCTCTCGCTCTGCATCCTGTCAGTCTCCCCTCCACCCCTTCTCTCTCTCTCTCTCTCTCTCTCTCTCTCTCTCTGTGCCTTCGTCCCTCCCTTCGCTTCACACTGCCTCGCTCATACTCCCCCCCCCTCTCTCTTCAACCCTCCTCCTTCGGCTCCTGCAATGAAGCCCACACACCTGATGCGGCGGGGTGTGCTTTCCGTAACGACCACTGGACGTGGGACGCGGAGGGAGGGGGAGGGGGTTGCGGGGTGACGCGCTCCCTTGCGGGCTTTGATCAGTTACCCCACTCAGCCTCCCTCCCGCGGGCCGCGCGCCGCTGACTGACTGTTGGCAGCAGCGAAAATCTCGGCCTCCCTAATTCTCCCCCGCGTGCCCCGGCCCCGGCCCTGGCCTGGCCGCGCTGGCTGTGGCTGCGGTGGCGGTGGCGCCGCGAGAGCGCGAGACAGAGAAAGGCAGAAAGAACGCCCCGAAGGGAGGAACGGTTCGGCCTGGCCGGGCCAGGCAGGCAAGCGCCGGGGCCAAGCGGGGAGCGGGGCAGAGCGGGCAGGGTGTAGGTGAGGTGGATTTGCCCGCCCGTTTAGTCACACCGTGTTGAGCCTGGCGGCAACCCCGCGCCCGTAATCAAATTCCTCATTTCGGAGGCGCTGCTCGGCGCGCGGCGCGTATTACATTCCGTGCAAGCGGCCGCTGTGCCGCCATTTATGATTTATTGATGCGGCGACAGCAGCGCGGCATGATCGGCGAGTCCATTCTCCCGCGCGGTCCTGCAGACTGATTCCGAGAGTCGTTTCCGTCGCTCTGTCTCTCTCGCACTCGTGGGGCGTCCCGTATAGGTGGGAGAGAGACAGAGAGACGAAAACGACTGTGTGAGTCCTTTTGCCTAATCGGATGAGGGCCAAGAGCCCTCTCTCTCTGACCTGTGGGACGCTCCGGGCGGGAAGGCGACCTGAAGGCTGAAGGCTGCCGCTCCTCCCCCACGGGGCGGCAGGCATGAGAAGGCTCACGAGGGCACGTGTGCCGAGCGATTACAAGCGTGTGAGCAGGCCTCTCCCCCTTACCCTCCCCCTCCACTCCCCCTGCACTCCCCCCGCCGCCACGGCTCGCGTCCAAGCGAGGGGAGTCTTTTGATTACCGCAAATAAAACTACTCAAGTGAACTGAGCAGGGAGCGGCTCGGCACCGGGGCCGCGCGAACCAGCGTGAACGGAGAGCGGAGGCGGTGCGGGGCAGAGAGAGGTGCTTGTCGGTGGCGGCGGCGTTCGCCGAGAATCTGGAGGGAAAGGAGCGAAGAAGCTGACGTTGGTGTGGGTGAGTGTGTGTCGTGCGCCAGGTGTGATGAGCGGCTATTGATAGGTTGAGGTTGCTCTAGCAACCCCTCGCGCCTCGCGCAGGCTAGAGACGAGACCCTTCCCGCGCGGCCCGAGTGGCCCCGAGGTAGGCCGCGGGCGGACAGTGCTGTCGAATGGGTTGCCTACCCTCGGGAAGGCAGGCGCGCAGCGCGCAGCCAGGGCCGTGGGGTGGCGGTGCGCCCAGCGCTGCGGAGAATAGGGTCCTCATCAAACAGAGGTAATTTGGGGGCGGCTTAATTAGTGAAGGTCAGATAAGTTGTTTTGTTTTTGTTTTTTAGTTTGTGAGGGTTTTGTTGGCCGGGGGCGAGCCGGGCCGCGACGGGGGCTGTGATGCGCACTTCAGCTTTCATCCGCTTTCATTCAGGCTCATCGGAGCGTGGAGCGTGCCACGGCAGGGCCACGGCACGGCGCCATCCCCCGGCCTGCCCTACCCTGCCTGCCTCCTCGCCCGTCTGTCCGTCCGCGCGGCCTGTGCCCGCTCTCCAGCCCATCAAATCGATTACGGTGCCGCCGCGCACGTGACAGAATGTTTGTTCAGTGGATCATTCCCAGACCCACCCTTTTGTTTCCACTTTAAAACGGAACCCGACCCGACCGGGGCGGGGCGGGGCGGGGCGTGTGCGACTGCATCGCTGGCCGCGACAGCCCTGCACCCTTGCCTCTCTATGAGCTCCATACTATGAGCAGTCATAATGGACGCACCACTCACACACTCACACACACACACACACACACACACACACACGCTCACTCTCTAGCGCGCACACACACATAAACACAGATGGGCGTGCCGGCGTGCCCCGCCTATCAAGTCCACTCATCAACGTGCACTGCGCTATCAGGCTCTAGAGCCAATCGGCCATGCGTCGTCCCCGTCAGGGCCCCGTCCCCAACGGGGCCGGCCAGGCCGGGCGCGGTGCGGTGCGGTCAGGCTCGGCTCGTCAAAATTGAACGCGCTCGTTAGCGTCACCTCGCGAGCCCGCTGCCACGCTGCAGGCTGCCGCCGAACAGAGCTTCCCCGCTCGCTCGCACTCACTGGGAGCAGGGTTGCGACGAAGCTGTGGTCGGATTCGGCCTGCATTGCCGCGCCCGCCGCGCCCGCCGCGTTGCAGAACGACCTGTCGCCGCCACGCCCGCCATGGCGTCCGCTGTCAGCCCGACGCGGCGGCCTTTGGGACTCAGCCAGTTTCACGCGTTATCCCCTCTAATGGCCTCCCGAACTGTGTGTTGCAGGTTAAAATATGGTTTCAAAACCGGAGGACCAAGTGGAAGAAGCACGACAATATCAGCAACGCCGAGGCCGCCGAGCACAAGTCGCAGCAGCAGGGGCCGGCGCCGGCCGCCGCGTCCAAAAGGCCTACCGTCGTGGTCAAGAAGGCCACCAGCGCGACCACGGTGCTCGCGATACCCAGTCCCAACCCGGCCTCGGCCTGCTCGGCGCTGTCCGCGACCGCAGGGTCGCCCTTCTCGGCGGACGAGCACTCCAACGGGTCCACGCTGCTGACGGGCGACGGCGAGAACGACGGCTCTGTCTCAGAGAGCTGCATGTCGGAGGAGGCATCGTCCTCCGCCGTGACGTCGGCGGTGAGCTCCCGGACGCCGTTGGCCAACGCCGCCACGCCCTCGCCACCCGCGGCGTCGCCGTGCGCGGCGTCCATGAGCCCCGTCAGCACGACCAGTACGACGGCGAGGGGCTCCATGGGCTCGCCGACGCGGGGGGCGCCACCACGATCGCCGGCGACGCCATCCTTGTCATCCGGCGATACCCCGACGCTGTCCGCCACGCTGGTCGCTACCCCAGTGCCCAGAGACTCTAGGGACTCTGGGGCGGAGGGCGAGAAGGAGGCGGCGTGCCGGCCGTGCGCCTCGCCGAGGCTGCCGAGGCCGGCGCCAGGGACCACGTCGCTACCGTCGCTACCCCGCGACACGGCAGCAACCACGGCGCTGCCGCCCTCGCCGTCATCCACGTCGCCCGTGAGCTAGCGAGCTAGCGAGCTAGCCGGCGGGCTGTGAACCAGGACGACCAGGACGCTGCAGAGCGTCGAGTTTCTTCATGTGCCACAAGCTGAGGGTGCGTGGTGCGAGGTGCGAGGGCAATCCCAAGGGGCCCTGGGCCGCCCTGGGCCCTCTGACGGACTCACAAGTGCTAGCACTCGTTCGACATGCGGGGGTGTTTCCAGGTGTTTCTCAGACCTGCTGAGTTACGAACTCTAAACGGGGACTTTGAGAGGCTTAGCTTTTCGGAGCGTCCCCCGTGGGCTTGTCTCGCGGCATCAGTGTCCACCACTTTGGAGCGAAGTGGCAAGGAACACGTGTCTTCCATACTGCTTGCATGCGTGGGCGCGTGGCGTGGCGGCCCGTGGCGGCCGGTGGGGTGTGTAGTCAGACCATTTTATTGATAGTGAGATGAGAAAGTGTGTTGAGTGGTTCCTTACCAGTGAGAGCTACGTGCTCACAGTACTTAATGATGTCTTGTTAGTACCCTAAACAAAATGTGACATTTTTTGTGAGAACCTTGTGATGCCATTTGTGTAATTCTTACCTTTACAAATACCTTGCATTTTGGTGATTCCTTTTTGTATGTTGAGAAGGTTCATTCTATGCTCTGCAACCTTTAGATTAAAGTCCCTTCTTATTCTTTCTCAGAGTTTATTTAGTTGAGTTTGTCAGTTTCAATTTCATCTCAATTGCAAGCCGGTAAATAGTATATTTTCTCATATGTGAACTATCTAGTAGTATGGCTATGAAAGCAAAGATTCATAGATGCCAAGAGTGTTTGTGTCAGAAATTGATTTGACATATGCATCATAGGTGTGATTTATAATTAAACCAAATGTACCGTACTTACTTTTGATTGTTTTGTAGCATGACTTTCATGACTGAATTTTATGTTTTCAATATTTGTAAAATTCTGCTATTTTCTCCAAAGATTTAAAGCTTTTGTTTGTTGGAAATAAACATTCGAAGTTGAGGCAGATCTTAATCTGTATTGCTTATTGCTTGAGTTCCTTATGTCCACCTTCACCTACTTCATCAACCCTCACAATATAAGTCATACGTGTCGCAGGAACAAATGAAACAACAGGGAGCCGAGCCCTGAAGCGCGGGGTATCTACTTGCGCATTCCCTCTGCGTTCGCTCCCGAACGCCCAATTTCTCATACGCGTCCTCACGTTTCTCCCGAGAGTCCCCCCCACCCCCACCCCCTCCCCCTCTATATCATCAGCATCAGCTGATGCGGGACCAAGTTGGGAGGGGTTAGGTTTCTTTGTTGTGTTCTCAAATGTAAACTAGACGCCAGACAAAATGAGTACTGCAGATTTCAAAGTAGTTTTGTTAGGCAGTGAAGACGTAGGAAAAACTAGCCTTATGAAGAGATACGTTAGCGATCGTTATCATTCCAGGCCACACAATAATGTTAGTAATGCTTTTTGTTATTTATTTCTTTCTGACTCATTTTCTTGTCTAATTATGAAATATTGCCCTGTCTGTTGTCCCTTTCGGCTTTATAGACAATTGGAGCAGCATTTTCTTCCAAGAAAATAACTTCAAGAGGGAGGGACATTGTTATAGGCATTTGGGATACTGCTGGAAGTGAACGGTGAGTCTCTATTTAAATACCAACACCAATAAAATGTCTTAATTTAATTTTAATTATTTTCTTAAAAATTTTCATTTTTCTTCAGTTATTATGCTATGAGTCAACTGTATTATAGAGATGCTAAAGCAGCGGTAGTCTGCTTTGATCTTACCGAACGAGTAACCTTTGACCGAGCTAAACAGTGGGTTACTGAATTAAGGAATCAAGAGGAAGTATGTACCAAAGTGTACTATTTTGTTGCCATATGAGGTTTTGTCAATTTTGACATGAAAACTTCTTGTGTTTCAGAACTGCAAAATTTTTCTCTGTGGAACCAAAAAGGATGTAATTGATGAGGGAATAAAGCCCCGTGCAGTGCCTCCAGAAAAAGTATTACAGTACTCCAAAGGTTTGTACCTGGCTATAGGCTTGAGTTGATGCTGCCAATCAAATCATTCTTATATTTTGTTGTAACATTTCCCAACTAAGGTATAGGAGCTCAATTTTTGGAAACCTCAAGCAAAACTGGAGAAAATATTGGTAAGTGTCCCCCTATGGCATCCATTAGGAGAGGTGAAGCCACGTGTCATTTCTTTTGTTGAAATGGCTGTTCATTCTTTTACAATTGCTGAATTTTTAATTTTTGTTTCAGGGGCATTGTTCCAGATTGTGGCTGATTCTTGTGAGCTACCCATGCAGAAGCAAGAAACCATACAACTACAGACACTTAAGAAGAAGAATAATTGTTGTTAATCCCAATTTTTCGATGATTGACATATGCTATGTGTTCGATCTGATAAACCCATTCTTTTACTGTAGAAGACTAAGTTATTTGCTTGTTTTTCTTTGCAAACAGCTTATTATATATGTAATCATGACAGTTTATTACTTAAGTTAAACTTAATTTAGAAAGTCAACTACTACTGCTCTTTGACATCTGCACTGTTGGTTGAATAGTTCCTTTTACAATCACTACAAAGACTTGATTTTACTTGTGTCCTGTTGTTTTATTATTATTTTTTATCATTTTTATTATTATTTTCATTCTCATTTGTAAGTACGTGATCTGATTGGGGTCATTGATCATGGTGTACGTTGGTAACAGAGGACCTTTTGGTCACGTGTGTTGAAATTCAATGCTATGAATTACTGATTGCGATTGGTTTCAAAATCTTTGACATCTGTTATACATTTGTATTAATTTCTCTTATGGGAAAGGTGTATCTTAATAGTTGACAGAAGTCCGTCACAATTGTGTCTGTGATGTTTCTGTACAAGATAATTATATTTTTGTATTTTTGAGACTTTTGGTTTCACCAAGTTTATGGTAAGTTCATGTATGTGATCTGTAAAGTAAGGATAATGTAATTTTTCAAAACGATTGGTTCAATCAAGTTTGAAAGGCTGTGTTTAATACACTTTTTTCAGTTCCAAAATGTGATAAAGTAAAAGTTTAGATGAAAATTTGTAACTTTTCATCACTTGTGCCTTATTCTCCTATCAGAGGGCTGTTTAACTTTATCTAGTGTTGTAAGGACCCTACTGTGCCATCTAAGTCACCTATTCTTAGAGGGGTATTGCCAATGCCTTAGTAGTTACTGCAAAATTTATGTTTTATTTAACATAACGTTTTCTTAATTTTCCTCTCGACTTGAAATGCATGATTTGGTTAAAATATTTCAGGGCCTTTATCAATCAATTCATCAAATATGTTTCTAGTTTTCTATGGAATCCTGGTAAAGCGCAAACTGTGTACTTCCTTATGTTGTTTTTTTTATGCGAGAAGAAAAATCTTCTTCACTTCTTTGTGTCATCACATCGTAAATGTTATTGCTCATTCTTATAATCAAGTGTTTATGTATTTTAGTCAGGACTGATGTGTCATGTAACTTGTCAAAGCCAAATCAATACAATGAAGTTTCTATTTTATTTGCAAACATGTTAATTTTGATCCTTAACATTGATTTTAACATTGAAGCTTTCCACTTTCTTGCAAAGAGAAAAAAAATACTTTGATCACAAATCAGGTTAAAGAGCTCATATTTAAAATCTATAGTAAGGTTTGAACCCTCAATTAAATCCATTTCCCTAAGATTGCTGACAGCACAATTCATAAATTAACAAAAACCTCAGCATTTTAGTGAAACAAGAAAATACATATACAATAGATAAAACAAATCAGTCTTGTAATCCCTCACATACATAGTTATCACTTTCCTATTGATGCAACTTTTTCCATCTCTCTGCGCACAGTTTCTTCATCAGCAAGGAAGCGAAGTGGATCAATTGCCTGTAAATTTTCGTCCAGGTCATAGTAGAATGGAATAGCATTTGGGAGGTTGAGTTTTACTATCACTTCATCGGACATCTCTGAAGAAAAAAGACACAAGTTTTAGTTTTAAGAGAATAGAGTTGGCACACCAAAATAGATTAGTTGATATGAACGACTCTTACCCTGAACATGTTTAACGAGTCCCCTCAGACTTGTGCCATGAGTCACAATTAAAACCCGCTTGCCTTGACGAATTTGAGGTGCTATTACATCTTCCCAGTAAGGTATAACACGTTGCAAGGTAGTTTTCAGAGATTCTGTTCTTGGAATTTGGTCCTTGCTCAATTCTAGAGCAAATTTGGGGTTGTTGACAATTGCGCTGTAATATTTATGGTCTTCTTCAATTGGCGGAGGTGGAATGTCATAACTTCTACGCCAAATTTGAACCTATTTAACAGAAAAAAAATTATTTTGAAAGAAGGATTTAATGAGGAAAGCAATATTTTGGTAAACAAGCACTTGCCAAGAAGCCAAATAAATGAATGAGTAAACCATACCTGTTCAGCTCCATATTTCTGGGCTGTCTGCAGTTTGTTGAATCCCGTCAGAGCACCATAGTGACGCTCATTGAGGCGCCAAGATTTGTAGACTGGCAGGTTTGGCTGGCCAATTTCTCGCAGAATAACATCCAAGGTGTCGTTTGCCCGCGACAGAAGTGAGGTGTGGCAAACATCAAACTCCAGGCCAGCTTCTTGTAGCATTTTGGCTGAGGCATAGGCCTCTTCCCTTCCTGTGGACAGTTTAAAAACTCAAATTATCGCCTCAGAAAATTTGGACTTTCGAAGACAAAGGATGCCCCCAACACTTAGCGAAATGGTTTGGCAGCAGCCGTCTCCTCGCTGTCTCGCTCGCATCGTAAGCTGTAAGCACGTCATTTAAGGCCAGCGGGAATTCCTGACCGGTTCAAAATCCGCGCGCTCTGCTACACTGTTCCCGTGGCACCGTGTCCGGTGCGTCCGGGGACTAGTAGGCGGAGCCGCGGTTTCGAACGCGACCCAAGCAGAAGGCTCTGTTGTTTACAAACAAAAACGCTGATCACTTCGGAGTTGTCTAGTTCCTGGAGCGAATCCGAGTCGTGACGAAGTTTGTCGCTGACGCGACGTCGCGCAGGACGGGGAACGCGGAGAGGGGACGGTGCTTAACGGCGCGCAAGGCGACGGAAAAGAGGTTAAGCTCGCGGATGAATGAATGAATGAATGGAAAAGGGAATGAATGAGAGGCGGACGCGATGGGGAATGGTAGAAAGAGAGGCGCGCACGCAGACAGACATGCAACAGTCTTTGCTCGAAGGCAGGCTGAATCCAAAAGTCGAGTGGAGTATTGGCAGTGGAGGGATCTACTTTGCCAGGCTCCGCCTAGAAATGGCGGGAGGGAGAGCATAGGGGTTCGAAGGCAAAGCTCAGCGCCGCCTGCCCAGGCGTGGTGGCCACCCTTGGAACTACGAGAATAGATTGTCCACGGTACTGTCACATCGTCGGGAGCATGGGAGAGCAGACGACGCCGCCGACTAAAGATCGCTGACATGCCGAAACATGTGTCGTCTGAGCTCTCTAAAATTCACTTGAGCATAAAAAACTCAACCCCGATAAGCGTAATAGCGTAAAATGCTTAGCGAAGGAATTTACAAATCCCTTGGACAACAAGCGACAACTTAATGGGGTCGACGGTGCTGCGCTCTGTCGGGCCTTCGAACCCCTATTGGTCTTGCGCTGGCGCTAGCTGGCGCCGCGCGCTTTCCTACTTACCTATGTCGCTGAGCTTGGCGTCGTACCAGCCGCAGAAGAGGTTCTGCAGGTTCCACTCGCTCTCGCCGTGGCGAACCATCACCACGCGGTACTGCCGCGTCATTTCGCTGCAAGTCGGTCACCCGAAGTGAGGCGAGGCGAGGGTTGCACTGGCCGCTGGTCCTGGCTGGGGCTGGGCTGGGCTGGCGTCGAGCTGGGGGCCGGGGGGCCGGGGGCTAGGGGCCTAGGCTCGCGGTGCCGTGGCGCCCTGCGCGCTGCGCGGTAGAGAGGGCGCGCGTGCTGTGGCGTGCTGAGCGTGCTGGGCCGCCCGTTCGAACGTCGCCAGTGGAGCTCGAGCAGGAGCGTGCCGGAACCAGGCCGGATCCAGGCCGGAACTCACAGGGTGGGGCTGGAAGGCCGGAAGTGCAGGGAAGCGCGCTGGAGTTGGCAGCTTCACCGACGTGGCGAGAAGTCTGCTATCACCATCCCTTGACTTGCCGTCGCCGGTCGGCGACAACGTGTGCGAACGGCAGCCGGCCGCGGTGTGGGCACAAGCTCGGGGAACACCAGCAGCGACAGCCGCGGGGGCCGCCACCAGCTGTGCGGACGAGGCGCGAGGCGCGAGGCGCGGTGCACGCAGACTAGCGACCGTTTCTAGACTGTGAATCAAGGGAGCCGAACCGAACCGACTCGGATCGCGCGGCAAGACGGCAAGGCGGCAAGGCGTGGCGGGGCGTCGCGGTGGCGTCCAGCCGCACGGCTTAGCGTTGTGGCGCTGCCTTGCTGCCTTTGGCTCTGAAGCGGTGCTGGCGGAGCGCGCGGCCCAGCTCTGTGCTCTACGCCACGCCGTGCCCGTCGTGCCCGTCGTGCCCGCCGTGCCCGCGCTGACAGGCCTCAATGTAGGCATCGAGGGAGGGGGAGGGCGCCGCACAGCGCCACGCCGGCCACGCCGGCCACAATGGCACAGGGGCTTTAGGTGGGGCAGGGGTGGAGGGGTGGCGGTGGAGGGTGGGGGAGTCGTAGTAAAGTAGTAGGGGAAGCCCTGGCCTGGGCACGGCCTGGCCGGCCTGCCTGGCCGTGCCTCGGGGAAGGGCAGGAAGGGCGCGGCAGCGCGGCGGGAAGGCCTTTGCTTGCCGTTGCTTCTCTTGCTTCGCTTGCTCCGTGTCCGTACTGTATCGCCTCGGCGGCCGGGAAGCCGGGATGGCGATGGCCGGGATTGGGGATCGGGCATTGGAGGCATTGGAGGCGTTGGGGAGGGAGCCATCGGCCATCGGCCGGCCGTCGGGAAGGCTAAGGCAGGAACAATCTATCCGAGGAGCCGGCAAAAGAGTCGTGTCGCGACCGGAACAACCTTTTCTGCGTTGCAGACGGAAATGTTTCGTCGAACAAAGAAAGGGAAGGTTGTTCACGGAAGTGTAAAAGTGTAAGCGCCCGTCAGCCTACCTGTAAGCCGTAAGACCTCGGGGCCGTTATCACAAGGCACACGGCGTGACGTAACGGAGGTAAGGTGGGTAAGACGGGTAAGGCCGAGGCGAGGTGAGCACGGCGACGTCGGGGTAACTGGGTAACAGTGTGTAACACAAGGTCAGGACCCATTGTTCGAGCGCACCTGTCATGGAGCGGTCGCCCGATTGACTCAGGTGACATGCCGGGGGACCCCGGCGTGGGACACGCGAAACTCCAGACCACACTTACGTCAGCTTATCGGAGTGTCGCCGGAGGTAAACGACACCCAGGTCGCACTGTTGCAAGAGTGGGCCGCCGCGGTGCCGCCGCGGCCACAAATTTGGCCTCCGGCGTTGCGTGTCGGTTCCTTCTCTGGCGTGCCGCTCCGGCCAGGCCTATTAGTTGGGGCCCCAGGGCTGGCACCCGAGCCCCGAGGTAGCCCCGAGGTAGCCCCGAGGTAGCCCCGAGGTAGCCCCGAGGTAGCCCCGAGGTAGCCCCGAGGGAACGCCGGCCCGCCCTGAACCAGGGCCCCAGGCCGGAGAGGTCCGGCGCAGTCCAGTCTCGGGCCACGTTCGTGCGGCCAGCCGGCACAGCACTGCCAGCATCTCCACGCCGGACAGAGATGCCGAGAACCTGCTCGGACGCGCCCTGGACCTGGTCCTGGCCACGTCCTGGCCACGTCCTGGCCGGGCTACGGCGGTGGCTACGGCGCCGGCCCGCCTCTCTGGTCCTGCTGGTCCTGCTGGTCCTCGGCGCAGAGCCGCGCGTGCCCTGCTATGGCGACTGCTCTGGAATGCCGGCTATGGCGGCTATGGCTACGGGGAATGAATGGAGCTGGCCGTGCCGTGCCGTGCCGCGCCGCGCCACGCCCCTGCCTTGTTGGCGCGAAGGACCACTCCGCCGCATTCCCCTCCAGGTAAACGTTTTCCCCAAAGGCCTCGGAGTTTTTCTGAGCTGATTCATCGGGCTTGCCTCTCCCGTCCCTGTGGAGTGAGTGAGGCAGGAAAACAACAACCACATTTCATCAGATGGAAACCGACGGCGATGCATCCTGCAGTCTGCCCCTCCGCTGCCCCCTCCCCTTACCCCTTCCCCCTCGCCTCTCGATGCCTCTCGGGGAAGCTCTAATTCCACCTGGCTGTGAGAGCACGCCGGCGAGAGCCTGGCGGCCTGGCGCGCACCGCATCAAAACAAACCAGCCCCGCCTTCCCTGCCTTTCCCTCCTGGCCCCTGTCCGGCTGGATCGCGGCGTGCTGCGCAGAAGCTCCAAGGGATCGTGCACTGCACGATGCAGGACTAGAAGGACTGCGAGGGGCCTTGAATGGACTCCAGTAGCGCGTGTCGGTGATGCTACGGCGACGTGGAGTCAACACTGTGGCCGAGGCCCTGAACCACGGCGACGTGGAGTCAACACTGTGGCCGAGGCCCTGAACCACGGCGACGTGGAGTCAACACTGTGGCCGAGGCCCTGAACCACGGCGACGAGGAGTCAACACCGTGGCCGAGGCCCTGAACCACGGCGACGTGGAGTCAACACTGTGGCCGAGGCCCTGAACCACGGCGACGTGGAGTCAACACTGTGGCCGAGGCCCTGAACCACGGCGACGTGGAGTCAACACTGTGGCCGAGGCCCTAGCGACCAGGGCAGGGCGGGCCAGGGCCTTGACTGGCTTTCCGCGGGGCTCGCCTCGCGTAGGACCGCGACCAAGGCGCGCCGAATTGGCGGGCCGCGTCCGCGGTGTCCGGAGAGCAGCGGCACGGTGGCCGACGGTGGCCGACGGTGGCGCCGCGCTACCGTGGCCGTCTCGGACGCCGCCGCTAGTTCGGACCAAAACAGCAGCGACGTGACCGATGACAAGTATCACGCTGCCAATGGCGGCGAGGCCTGGCAGCCTGGCAGCCGCACTGTACTTGATGTGTATCGCCGCCGCGGGTTCGAACACCGCGCGCGCACCGCATTCTTTTCGGACGCGACGCCTCGGCCGCAGCGCACTGGCCGAGTCTGGGCTACCGTCTTATTTGTGCTCGCAGCAACTACCCACGCTACCTCCCACTCTAAAATAATTACGAAAAACAAAAACAAGTTTACTGTTGACCCGCCTGGGTGGCGGTTGACCTTCCGCGGGGTGCCAAAGTGCCGCCACTGCAGCTGCTGGGCTGGGCCAGGCTGGGCTGGTCCTCGCAGTCCTGTGGCTCCTATTTATACACCTGCAAATCGAGTGTAAACAGCAACCACCGGGTACAGAGCTCGCTGTAAGCCGCGAGCCCGGCGGCCGGCCGGCCAGAGTCCTGCTCGGCTCGTATCACATTTTGTACTGCGATACCGCTTGGTTGGTCGTTACACTTTCGACTGATGGCGAGCCGAAGGCCGAAGGGGCCGTGGGCCGTAGGGGCTGAAGCCAATGACCCTGCCGGGCCTGCCGGCTTGGCGGAAAGCCGTTGTTTTGGGACGGCCGGTGCTTTGCTGGGAGTCCGTCTCTCCCTCGCAGCTCTCGCACGATACGAAGGCAGGCCTGTACGAGTACTACTTGGCTCGTACGTACCGGGACCGAGGGCCGAGGCGCCGTGGGTTGCGGGCTTGCACAGCACTCGGGCTCAATGAGCATGCCTGCGTATTCCCCAGCGTCCCCCTGGTCCCCCCGGACCGGAGGCGCCGGCACTTCGGACAGCGAAATTCCGACTAGCGGTCAACGGGGGGCGTTAGCGTTACAAACGTGACACGATGGAACAACTTTTTGCAATCCGAATTTCATCATTCTTTGTCGAAGGCTCTGAATCGCGGTCCGTCCACGTGATATCCGACTTTCCGTCGAGCTGGCACTCCTTTTCGACGAAGCGAGGACTGCTGAGGTCGGTGTGTGTGTCGCCTCGACGTCACGGCGTCTCGAACGAGGTCTCGAACGAGGTTGCCGGCGGCGCGGCGCTACTGTGCCCAACTCTCGGCTAGCGACAGGCCAGACAAGCGCTTCCCCAAATCATAATTACCCGTAATTACCCCCACACTGGTGGAAAGGGGGTCAGTGATTGGTCGGCGGGCCTGGCGGCCCGGCCAATCGGGTTCAAAGATTGGCACTGAGGCGGACCGAGGCGAGGCGGGCCTGGGCAGGCCGCGCCGACCTCCCTAACTGCCGGATTAAGCGGTGCCAGATACGCGGCAACAGCCTAGAACCATCTTACTCCACGGTGACGACGACGACGAGCACCACGAGACCGTCAAGACCGTCTAGAGCGACGGGCTTGTCTCTGCGGCAGTGCCGTCGCGAGGCTGAAGTCCCTACGTCCAGCCCCGGGACTGCGGGACGCGGGAACCAGTGGCGTGCGCAAGGGGGGGGGGGGGGGGTCATGACCCCCCCCTTTGGCCACTAGACAGCCGCCTGGAAGGTAGGCAAATTGCGGTACTTTCCCCCTGTAAGTAGGCAAAAAGCATGGCCCGACCCCCCCTTTCAAAATTTCTGCGCACGCCACTGGCGGGAACCGCGGACTGATTCGAAAACAGCGCTTCGTCGCTGTCTCCCTCGCACCTCCACTGAACGCCGTGCGCGCAAGAAAGGGACAGCATGACGAAAGCGCTCGGAGTCGCTCTCTGTTGGCCGGCCGGCGGGGAATTCAATTTTATTTTCTTGGGGCGGTTCGCTCCGCCGCCGCCGCGCTGCTGTGCTGCCTCGGCTGCCCTAGGCGCTGCCCTGCCGGCCGGCCGGCCCGGCGGCACAACGGCCCCTCCAAGGCCTAGGCGTCCAATCCCTCCTTGTGATAAGCGCTTTTGATTGAGTCCAGCCCGTCGCGCCGCGCTGCATGGAGCGCGTCACTCGCACGCGCCGCGGCCAGTTGAAAACAAGTCGATGCCCCCCCCCCTCCTCCGAATCTTCATTGGCAAAAAGGTGCGACGCCGACTCGGAGCGGCACGCGAACTCACTCCAAATGGCGCACGAGGAGGCACTTTCAAATCCGAAACGCGGATATTATTTCTTTCTGTTTTCCTTTTTCGTCTGTGTGGGATGGGTAATTGGTCCTGGAGGTGAGTCATCGGGTACCACAGGCCGCCACAGGCCGCCACAGGCACCGGCAGAGCGAGGCGGGCGCGCGGCCTGGACCGTGGACCGACACAGAGTTTGGCACGAGAACAGAAGTATTTCTTTATTTGGTATGTATACTGTATTTCTCTCTGAAATGCAACTGGTCCTCAAGATGCGACTATAACAAAGTTTTTTCTCTCTTCGAAAAATAGCTATACTCATTATAATTTGACAACGGACCGATGGTCATTTCTGAGTGACCTTGTATTTTGTAGTTTTGTTATTTCTTTGGAATGAGAAACGACCACCGACGCGTTGATATGCTTATGCTAAGAGACTCGATACATATAGTATAATGCTTTCTTCCTACATTACAACACATTGTACACTGCATTCGTACAGTTGACTCTAGAATAAGTGTACGTCTAAAAAAACAGGAACAAAACAACGAAAAGAAAGGAACACGGGTTGCCTACAAATGAAGCTCTAAGTGTACTGTAGTTACACTTGTGCATTACTCTAACATTGTCCATCGGCGAGGCCTTCTCTGTCACACCCACGCACATCTTCGCACGCACTCTCTCACAATCGTCGGGGAATACTGTAAAGCTTGTTGCTGGTGATGCTGGAACGCTCGGGTCGAGAAGGCTGATTCCGAACGTGGCTTTTCATCGCTCTGTCTCTCTCGCACTCACGGCGCTTCCCGTTTGGCTGCGAGAGAGACAGAGCATCGATCGGGAACAATCCGCAGGTCGGCGACGCGCCGAAGAGCGCCCCGCTTTCGAGGAGTCTGGTCCTCGCGGCCGGCGGGGCGACAAGCAGGACAAGCGTTGCGGCCGTGCGCCTTGGGCGCGCTGGCCCGCGACAAGCTCCCCGTCCCCGAGTCCAGGGGGCCAGACGACGGGGGCTGCCCCCACGCTCGGCCTCCTCGCGCTCACTTGGCGCGGTTGGCGGCGGGCACGGGCGGCGGCGGGTCGGCGCAGGTGAGCGACAGGCGGCGGATGTTGGGCTTGTCGTACTCCTCCATGGACATGCCGCGCGACAGTCGCCGTCGGCCCAGCGACTCGCCCTCGCCCGACGACCCGGAGAAGGTGCGCTGGCGGTCCACGCCGAGGGCCACGGACGTGAGCAGCCCCAGGCCCTTGCAGAACAGCAGGATGCTCTGCGCCACCTTGGCCGGCTGCGGGCAGAGCGTTCAAAATTAGCGCCACGTTCGAATACTGATGGGGGCTCCGTTGCCCGATTTCTCCACCAAAATTGGGCAATGAAGCATTTTTTTTGCCATCCTTTTCGTCATGCATGGCGGTCATGCATGATGGTCATGACCATCAATCACTCTTTCAATCTGAGTGGAGCCAAACACGTCACATCTCGGAAATAGGCTTCTTACCGCGTCCGTCAGAACGTCGCCCGCCCTCTCCACCTTGAGCAGAGTGACCTTGTCCTTGTCCATGTCCTTGTGCAGCTTCTCCACGACCGAGGCGAAGGCGCCCAGGACCCCGGTGATGAGCAGGACGTCCGTCTTGGCCTCGGCCAGCGGCAAGTCCTGTCGCCTGCGCAGCACGACGAGTGTGTGAGTGAGACAGTGTGCGAGCGCAGACTGGAAGGGCATCACGATGGAGGAGCACTCACTTCATGAACACCTGCACGTACTGCTTGAGGTTCTTCGTGTTGATGGTGGTGCTGTGCAGCCGCTGGACGTACTCCTCCACGACGCGCTCCTTGTCCGGGGACGAGTCGTTGTTGACTTGCTGCCGGCAGAAAAGGGCTCAATGATGGCGTGCTTTAGCAGGCCGACGCCGCGACGTGTACACTGCTGTTAAAATACCACGTCATTGGAAATTCCAGAACAATCTCTGGCAGAGATTATTTTGCGAATTTCCAACCTGCGTTCCTGGTAAGTACAAAATTATTAAGTGTCACAAGGAAAACGCAAATGTATTTAGTTTATTTCGTAATGAAAGCGCGAGAAATCCACAGCTCCAGCCGGCGGTCGGACTTACCTCATCCGGGATCACCTGCAGCGCAGCGAGCAATCCGGAGCACATGCGGGAACCACAAAAATTAGCCATAGCACGGGGATGTGTTGAGGCGAGGGGAAAGGGGGGGGGGGGCGGCAGGGCGGTTTTGACGGGAGGTGACTACTGTGGTTGCATTGTTATCGTGCCACAAAAAGACTCAACCCCGCGCTTATCGTAGAAGGTGCCTATTCTGTGACATTATAATCGGGTGTCGTGAGATACCGAGCAGAGGGCTTAACTGCCTGATAGTGGCGGCTCGGTAGCGCTGCCGTCACAGTGTAACGAGGTCTCGTGGTAAATTAGTGAAAGTCGTTTCCGCGCCCCTCGGCTGATGGCCGTACGTCCTCCGCACTTCGTGACCACAGGATGTCGTACAGTGGGTGAGAAGACTGATGGGGGCGGCCAAAACTCTACACGCGTTTTGAGCTCCAGAGTCGCTAAACAGGACTCGAACAGAGCGTGTGACCCCACCAACGGATTCCTCGTTCGGAGAGCAATCTATTGGTGGAGTCACACAGGTTCGAGTCCCATTTAGTAACTCTGGAGCTCCAAACGCGTCCGGGATTTTGACCGTCTCCACCGGTCTTCTGGCCCACTGAGTGTCGGGAAGGACTTTGTTTTTAGCGGGTTCGATCATGCAGCAAATCCTCCACATGCATACAGCAAAACTCAACGATTAGGGGATGGAACTCGGGCAGGATATGGGCTCTCGTGTGATGGGGATTTTCAAGTTTGCATGGCTGTTTCATTTGCATAGCAGCACCAATATCGGACAAGCTTTTTGTTTTGATTGAATAAACCCAAGCTTTTTCACATCTATCACTCCATAACAACCCTATTTGCCCTAAAAAAGAATTTAAAAAATCGGCAGCACTCATTTTTAGAAACTAAACACGCACAGACAACCTTATAAATAATGAAAAGGAAAAATCAGAAACATATGGGTTATCCTAAATAAATGTTACAATTGGATGTCCCTGGCCCGTTTAGTCTACAGTTGGTCAAAAGAAATGCAATTTTGGGGCAAAAATTTGCTTTCTGCTATACAATGACCGCTGCGGATGCGGATATCCGGGGTGATATCGATGTGATTGTGTGACGATAAACAAAACCGGGCATCTTTTAGTTTTAAAACAAGTCGAGAATCCCAATTGTAACATTTCTATAAATTAACCCACATTTTAAAAAAATAATTATGAAATTAATGGGTTTTTATGTAATCAGCCAACCCAAACCATGCGGGTACTTGCACTTGCACTTACGTGGCCGAACTTGTGAAACACGAGGTAGTGCTCGGCGGAGGACGACACCGTGTCGTTGCTCCTCCAGTTAACTGTCTGCAAGTCGAAAACAAAACAACAACAATGTTTACTTTCGTAGCGCTGGGAATCACGTGCACGTAAAAACAAAGAAAGGAAGCGAGACTACAGCGGGCAAACCCGCAACGTTGTTGACACAGTCCTCACCTTGTTCTTGAAGCTCTCCATGACGGAGGCCGCGCTCCCCGTGCAGTTGATGAGGATCATGCCCAGCACGCGCGAGGGGTGCTTGAGGCCGAAGCGCGCCAGCACGTTGGCGCCGGCACCGTCTCCCAGCAGCACCACGTACTTGACGTGCAGGAAGTCGAGCACCGTCACCAGGTCCTCGCCGACCACGTCGAGCGTCGGGTACTCTTTCCTGGATGCGCACATCAAGACGTACAGTCGCCGCCGACCGCGCCGCCCTGGCCCGGGCAGGGTTTCCATCGAAAAGACGAAAATCTCACCCGTCAGGCAAGTTGTCGGCGTTGTCATGGTGACCCGGCATGTCCACGTGGATGAAGATGGATCGGTCCTTGATCTCCTGCATGCAGGGCGTGTTGACGAAGTCCAGGAACGAGCGGTCTGGAAAGAGACAGTGGGATCGAGGTTGCGACCGGGATCTCTCTCAGCGACGTTCGGCGTTCCAAACTCACGGTTCGTGCCCAGGTCGTGCACCGTCAGGAAGCAGGCCCGCTTGTCCTGCTGGCTGATCTCGCCCTGGACGTGCACGTGCAGGTCGCCGCACCGCTCCGACGACACGATGTAGTTCTGCAACAAGACGAGTCAAAATGAAGACGGCGAACGATTTTAATTTCCGCCTCGGCTTGGCTTTCGCCGTTTTTAGCGTTCTAGTTTCCAGTTCGAGCAAGCGCAGCAGTCGCGTGGCCTTGAGGAGCGCCTCCCCTCCGGTGCTCCGGGGTGGCGGAGACAGGGAAGGGCGTCGCGTCGCCCGGGGGCGGGGCGCGGGAGAGGGGGGGGGGCGAAGGGGCTTCCTGGTCCTGGTGGCGCCGCGCGGCCCCTAGCCTGGGGCCTAGCCTGGGGCCTAGCCTGCGGCCTAGCCTGCGGCCTGGCCCATAGCGTGGCCGCTTGCGATGGGTGGCGCCATTAACGGGTTTCGAGGCGCGACGCGCGGCGAGGGGCAAGGCGGTCTCGGAGGGGCGCGAACTCGTTCGGCATGCGCGATTCACAAACAGAAAACATCGCCGCCGTCCTTCACTCACCATCACGGGGCTGCCCTGCGCGCCAAGCTCGCTTCGCTAAACGCGTACGTAAAGTCGCGCACCGCGGTGCCGCGGGAGGAGAAGAAGAAGAAGGAGAAGGCGGGAGCAGCGTCGCCACTTGTTGCGGGTCGCGCCGGTTTGCCGCCGGTTTGCCGCTGGTTTGCCGTTTTCTGCAGACGGCCGGAAAGGGCGTTCGACGCGAGCGGGGTGCGGCCTGGGACTGAACGACGCCACCAGGGTGTGTGTGGGCTGGGAACGGCGCTGGGAACCAGGCTATGGGGTGAGTTTGCCGGGGATGGCCGGGGCCGGGGGCGGGGCGGGGTAGGGCGGGCGGGGGCAGCGCGTCTCAGCGTCGCCGCCGTCTTGTGTTCGGACGGCGTCATCGCCGTCCAGTGTCGACCGGCGGCATCCACTCTGCTCCGAATACGTTAGTGCGTGCGGCGCCGCCGGCCAGCAGTGGGGGAAGGGGGAGAGGACTTCAGTCTTCATCTGACGGAGAAGAAGTCTAGAAGCCTTTTCACCCGTGTGGCCGTGCAGCCTCACCCCTCAACAGCCAGACCCTCCTGGAGTCCAGGAGTCTTGGCCACGTCCTCCTGGTGCACTAGGTAGTCCACGCGCGCAGCTCTGCCTGCCGAGGAGTCACTTCCTCGCTTTGTCTCTGTCGCACTTATGGGAATCGAGAGAGAGGGACAGAGCGACGAAACGACTACCCGGAATGACCGGAAGTCCCCTCCTCCAAGCAGGGAGTCGAGAGTTCCGCATTGTTTTCGTGAGGGTAAGAATGCAGGCAACAGGCGCTCCCTGCGCGCGGGCGAGGGCTGTGGCAATGACGCGCCGACGCGCCTCTCTTGTGCTTATCTCGTGCGACCCTGCCGGTCTGGCGGTCTGCTTGTCGGGCGGTGGTGACGGTGACGTCCCGTCCCAGTCAGTCCCCCGGCCGGCTGGCAGCGCTTCGCACGGCGGCGCGCGTTGGGTTGCCTACCCAGCCGGCGCTCGCCTCGCCCCGCGGGGGAAGTGGGGCGGCTGCCGTCTGGCGGCCGCCATCCCCCCTCCCTTTCTGTCCTTCTCTTTCCCCGACTGCCGGCTGGACGCGAGGACACTCGTCCTGTGCCGCAATCATTCAGTTGTGGAGCTATTTTCAGCCGGCCCCGTCCCGCCCCGCTGTCACCCCGCCCCCTCCTGCCCGCGCTGCACCGGGGCACCGAGGCGCGGAGCACGACGACGACGCGATAACGGCGACACACCTGCCGTTCTGCCGTTCTGCGCGGTGCTGCCGCCGCGCGGTGGGTGCTCTCCAGAAGGTCGGCCAGGCCGAGATACCCGTGAGAGCTCCTTTGCGCGCGCGCCCCGCTGGGCCGGGCAGGGTGGTGCGGTGCGCCGGGACGGCCAGGACGCGCCACGCCCACCTCGGGGGCCGTCGCCAAGCCCCGGGCCGCGAGCCCCAGGCCCCGCCACTCGAGTCGAGGCCCTTCTTGTTTGGCTCGCTTTTTACGGCGCGACTCGCTGCGAAGCGCCAAGCGCCAAGGCATCAAGGTCGTGGCTGACCTGCCCCACGCGGCGCTATCACAGCCAGGCCGAGCAAGCCGCAAGGCCCGCAAGCTGCAAGCCAGACTCCCTCCCGCCGTCAAAACAAGTCCGCAGCGCCCTGGCCGCCCTTCTAGCTTTGCCGTCTTGCTCCTTGCCGCTGACCCGTCGCCTCGCTGCCGCATGGCTGCCGCCGCCCCCCATTCATCCCCTGAACTTAGGACCGCCCGGCTCGTCCCGTTGCCAACAACGTGGTGAGCGCGGCCAGCGGCGAGCCAAGTCAACCCTGCTGCGGCTTATCACTCCACTCTGGGAGGTGACTTCACCCGCCTGGCCGCCTGGCCCAGCCAACCGAAACAAAACCCAAATTCACGCGAGATCATCATCATCGCCAACATCGTTAACCACAACATCATCGTTAACAACAACATCAACAACAACGTAAACATAAACAACAACACCGCCACCACTGACAACAACAACAAAACAACAGCAACAACAACAAATTTAAAGAGCGCGGCGGCGCGAGGGAGTGCGTTGACCCCACCCCGCCCCACCGTGGCCCAGTTCACTGGACTCACCCAAATGGCACTGTAAGTGCTATCGGGGGCGGGCCATCGGGGCGGCCGTGGGCTGCGGGGGCGGCCAGGGGGCGGCCCGGGGGCGGTGTGAGGGCGGCCCCCTCCCCCGTGGGGCCCTGCCCGGGGCCCCTTCACTTTCAGCCCCGGGCATCCGCGGGATCGGATCAATGCGCCGGGCACTGTTGTGGCCGGCAGGCCTGTGGCCGGCAGGCCTGTGGCCGGCAGGCCTGTGGCCGGCAGGCCTGCGGCCGGCAGGCCTGCGGCCGGCGGGGCGCGAAGGTAGATGCGGCACGGCGCCACGGAGGAGGTGCACCGACCAGCGGATGGCCAGCGGCGGCATCCTCGAGGCTTAACCTAATTATCACAAGGAGACGAAACGAAAAAAAAATTCGATCTTCATCACAGCTTAAGGGGGGACATCACTCCAAAAACAGTGCCTTTGTAAAAACGTCATAAAAACCAAACGGAAAGAGAAAAATTGTTCATATTTTAACAGATAAAGTATAAAACAACACAAAGTCAATCCGCCAGGGCAGTACAGCGCTTTCGCTGAAAACACATTTTTGAGGGTTAGGTTAGACCATTTCGCACTGTTGCAGCGCTGGACGCCAAACGGTTTGACCTAGAACATTGAAATTTGGTGACAGCCTTCCTGAGATGTCTGGCTATGGTGGGTACCTCAATCACATTTAAAAAATCATTTTAAGTTCTGTTTGTTACAGACCAAAAAATATTGTTAATTTTTTTTGGTCAAAATTGTTCAATTTTAAACGTTAAAAAAATAATAAAAATTGACCAATGCAAATTATTTTGCTACCCACCATAGCGGCATGTCGTAGGAGCTTCCATGCTAAATCTCCCCGCTGTAGCTCAAAAACTGCGCCCTAGAGGCCTGCAACCGTTTGCAATTTCATGTTCCGAGAAAAACGCGATCAAAGTTGGGGAAACTGGGCTTTTCCCCTATGCATGTTTGCGGCGCACAACCTACTAAAACTGCAATTTTTTGAATTCCGGGATGCGGTTTTCACCATTTGACGCAGAAAGGAATGGTCTATAATATAAACAATTAAAAAAAAGTTGCAATTTTTTATCATTTTGGAGTGATGTCCCCCCTTAAAACTTTTGTGCTAGTTTTCCACTTCGTATTTTTTTGGCAGACTCTTTTGTTTGTTTTCGTTTAGTTTGCCAGGGTGGTCTGGTTGAATGACCTGTCGGCTCCGTTGACGGACACCCCCACCCCTTCCTCGCAGGGTTAGGAGCTTCTTCTATGCCTTCGGTAGGGTGACCTCGGCCCGCCCCGCCCCTCCGCGCGCCAGGGCTGCCTGGCATGTCGATAGGGGCGTTCACCCCGCGAACCGATCCACACGAAAAAGGAATGCGTGCCGCCCGGAAGCTTCCTGGGTCCGTGTTCGAATCTGATATTCCTGTGGAAATACCCGGTTTAGCGCGCCGTCCCCTCCTCCTCTTCCGCGTGGCCGTAGGAGTGACCTTTGCTTGCATTGATTGGGGAGTCTCGAGGGCCTCGCCTGCCTCGCCCTGGAAGGGCGCACCGACTGCAGGGCTGCAGGGCCGCCTGGCGGACAGGCTTCTCGACGCCGGCCTTGTCGGCGGCGGGCAGGGCGGCCTGCCCTCCAGGCGGCGTACCCTCCCGGCAGAGCTATTGGCCGAACTGGTGGGGTGGCGAGGGGGCGAAGGGTGCCCAGCCGACTCTGGGCGTCACGGCCATCGTCGTGACCTTTACCTGCACCCCGTTGCGGACCGATGCACACCGACCCAGACCGGTGCTCTCCTGCCCCGTTGAGCCACGCCCCGCCGCGCCCCGGGCAGCGGGCCGCGCCGCCCTCCGCGCCACGCCCGGCCACGCCAGGCCACGCCAGGCCACGCCCGCCACTCGCTGCGTCGCCGCTGCTAATATTAGATGGCGGTGCGCTGCCCCTGCCTGGCTGCCCCCCGACTCACTGGCCGACTCTTTCTGGTGACGAGCCTCGTGGGTCTTCTTCGCGGGATAAAAACGGAGCCTCGGTTCTTCGCCGTCGTCGTCGTCCTTCGTGGGACTCGACTCGCGTTGTTATCGCCCCACTTTCCCGTTTACGCGCTTTAGACGCGCGTCTCGCACCGGCTGCTGAGAGGCGATCAACAAGTGGCTGGTCCGGCTGTTGCTGCTGTTGCTTCCATCCATCCTCCGCCGGGCATCCCCCGCCCGGCGGGCCTTGCCTCCTCCACCCACGCGACATGTGGCTCCGAACTGTTTACTTCAGTACAAGGGACGACGGAACGGATGCTGCAGGATGGCGCACATGACACTAATCAGAGCCGCCTGCCCCCAGTCCCCCTCAATCACAAACAAGCACGGGGACGCACGCAGTTTAGTGCGTGTCATTGTTTTCGCGTAATGAGGAAGGTGGTGGAAATTATAATTATTGGGGATGACGGGTGTTGTTGGTGGTGTTGATTACAGGCCAGACCAGAGACAGACATAGACAGTGACAGACAGACAGTCACAGACACACAGATACACAGGCACACAGACACACAGACAGAGAGACAGGCAAACAGACAGACAGACAGACAGACAGACAGACAGACAGAGAGACAGACAGACAGACAGATGTGCTGAGCAAAGCCGGGTGTCTATGGCGACTCAGCCGGCCAGACCGCGCCGCGCCGCTGCGCATTTCATTTTGCTGTTGTTTTCGCGCGACATGTCATTGAATCGCTGCGCTGGAAAAACAAGAGTCGGCGCGGCGCGCGCGGCGCAGTGAACCCGGCCGGCCGGCAGACCCGCCACTGGCCGCCACTGAACAGCAATGAGCGGCCGGCCGGCGCGTCAACAAAGGCTGGGCCGCGCGTCCTCTGGCGTCCTCCCGGTGGAGCCGCGCGGGGCGCAGCGGCGCGGCCATGGCGCAGCGCGCAGCAGGCTCAGCGAAGCGGAGGCCGGGGCAGCCGGTTGACTGCGGGGCACTGCGGGGGCCGCGGCGCGGGAACCATTGTTTCCGAGACCTGCCGTCAAATGGCTCCATTGCGATACGTTTTGGGCGCGTTCGCGTCGTCAATCCCATCCGGACTGAACTTCCGGGCTGGACTGCCGGACGCCCGAACTTCCGCCTCGGACAAGCGCCTACCCGTCCCCAAACAAAAGGCCCCGCTTTGTCTCCGAAGACGACCGCGACGGCGACGTGCCATTCAATATCGATGAGCGTCCGTACGTATCGACCATCGACCCGCGGGGAGGCGCCGCCGGCGGCGTCCTACTTCGCGGCGGTCTTGGGCGGGCCAGTGTTGCCAGCCATGGCCGAGTCCGCGTGTCCAGCCCGCGGCCGAACGCCGAACGGCCAAACGACGGGCATCACGGTGGCGGGCTCAGGTGCGGGGTGGCGCGCCGCTCGATGACCAGTGTCATGCTGGCTATGGTCATGCTGACGCTCTGCATCACGGCCTCCACCGCCTCCGGGACGGCGCGGTGCATCGTGGGAAGCGGTGTCTGCGGGACGCGCTGGAATCGACCGTGCTCGCGGGCTACCCTCAAGAAAACGCCGGCTGGAATTTCAGCCCACTGTCTGGCCGCCCCGACCGACCTCCTGGTGGCTGCCGGTCGGAGCGGTCTCGGGGCGGCACGCGGCACGTCGTGTTTACCTTGATTTCGGTGCAGCCGCCCACACTGGAGCGCCGCCGCAGCAGCGTTCTCTTCTCCTCCGGGGTGCTCATGTTGTCGGCGCGGCGCTCTGCTGCAGGACTGGCGCGCCTGGAAGCGCCGGGCGGCGCGGACGGCTCGCTGCGCTAAGGGCCGCTGAGGGCAGGGTCACGGCGCGGGCGGCGCGGGCGGCGAGGACGTCCACTACGGCCGGGAAAGGGCGGGAACATTCATCGAGGGGCGAGGCAGGGCGGCGGCGGAGGTCGGCAGGTGCGGGGTCGTTGGCGCGCTCGGCGACTGGCTGCGCTGGCTCGGCTCGCGGCTGGCGGGGCTGGCGACTGCGACGCAAAGTAAGGTTAGAACGCGACTGGCATCGCGGCACCGCGGTCTGCAGCGTATGGGCCTGGGCCACGCCAGCCACACCGGCCCCGCCGGCCCCGCCAGCCCCGGCCCAAGGCGTCCCCGCCGCGCCCGCCCGCCCCGCCGCCCGCCACCCCGCGGCCCGCGGCCCGCGCCACACCCCCTGGCCGGCCAGAGCGCGGAGGCACGCCCGCCGTGCCCCGTCCGCTCGCCACACCGCCACACCGCCACGTTCGCCGGGTGAGGGTATTGCGTAGCGTAGCGAGGCGTCGCGTGCGTCGTTCAGTCGCCCCGAAAAAAGGGATAATCATGCCAGTGTTTGAACCCGCGTCGTCAACGCCAACGCGTGGGAGCGGCCGACCCTTCTTGAGGGGCAGCGACCAGAGTCATTGCCGCCTGCAGGGACGGCTGGACGGATATCGCCCCTCTGAAGACTGCTTTCCGAGGGTCGCTCCCGTCGCACTGTCTCTCTCGCACCTATACGGGACGCCCCACGAGTGCGAGAGAGACAGAGCGACGAGATTGACTCTCAGTCTGCTGCACTCTGCGCTTCAGCGGCGAGCCGAGTGGCGCGGGAGCGGAAGGAGGAGAAGCAGAGCGTGCTGCTGGTAGGATGATGACGATGATGACCACGGCCACCAGGATGCTGGTAGCCAAGCAGGAAGGTGGCGGACAGCCACTCGGCACACTGGGGGCCGCGTCGACGGAAGGACGGCGTCCACGGCGACCAGGATGCTGGTAGGAAGGTGGTGGCGAGCTGCTCCAGCAGTGCACTGTGGGCCAGAAGACCGGTGGAGGCGGCCAAAACTCTAAACGCGTTTTCACCTCCAGAGTTCAGCGGCCGTTGGGCATAAGGACGTAAGTCACAAGGGAAACCCATTGAAAATAGGTTGTTCTGTCCGATGACCACTCAGTTGCCAAAGAGGATTCGAACTGACCATGTGACCCCACCAATGGATTCCTCGTTCTGAGAGCAATCCATTGGTGGGGTCACACCAAGGGGCAAACAACTTGAATTTTGGTATACATTTTCCTTGAAATAACGTGAAATAACGGTGAAATAACGTGAAATAACGTTGAAATAATGGTGAAATAACGTTAAAATAACGGTGAAATAACGCGAAATAACGCGAAATAACGTGAAATAAGGTGAAATATCACGAAATAACGTTAAAATACCCTTGAAATACCCTTGAAATAACGATAAGATAACAATGAAATAACGTGAAATAACGTGAATTTGAAATAACGGTGTACAAATTTTGACGAAGTTGTTTGCCCCTCGGGTCACACAGGTTCTAATCCCAAACTCTGGAGCTCCAAACGCGTTCGGGATTTTGACCGCCTGTTTCTTCTGGCCCACTGTGCGTCGCGCCCTCCTCTCCCACTGCCCTGTCCTCTCCAGAAAGGTGTGATTGGTTAACACTTGGCGAGAGCGCGACGGCATGACTTTCATTTGCAGCGTTTGCAGGCCTCCTCAACGAGAGTCGAGTCGTCATGAGCATAAATCTGTTTCGTCAACAGGGTCGTTGAGCGCATTGCGCCGCCAAGTGATTCGTACCCGGCGAGGAACGGTCGCGCTTTTACCCGAAGAGGAGGCTGTTTCGGTGCACGAGGTGGGCCCGAAGGATGGCAAAAATAAGATGCACACACACACACACACACACACACACACACAATCGGATCTTCGGCACACTCCTGTTTAGAGGGCGGTGCGGTAGGCCGGGTAGGCCCGCTCCTATTTCAACTCGAACCTGACGGGACTGAGTGCTTCGACTTTGCCGCGAGAAAGACAGCGTCGGAACGCGCCAAGAATCTGCGACACGGTGACGCGGTTCATCAATTAAGCGGCACACTCTAAATCGGAATGAATGGGACATTTCGTTTTAAATGGGTGTGGACTCCTGACAGACTGGTGACAATGTTGTGACAGACCAGTCTTGGGTGTAGTTCGTATTCAGGTTCAGCACAAACTCGTACCGGGCTAGTCGCAAATTCGTCACTTTTTTCCAATTGGTACGGAGGGCACCATGGACAGAAAACATTGTCCCGACAACATCATTGCACCTTTCGAGCCGATAAGAACGTAAATCCTGAGATAAGCCCGGCGCTGCCTGGCGCCTCCGCAATGACAACGAGGGCAAGACACCGACACTCACTCACCAAGTTGTTGTTGTTGTGCTGTACCGCACCACGGCTCACGTCACGTGGTGTGCCTCCGAACTGCGCTCCGTCGTCGTCGATCTGTCTCTTTCTCTCCGGCCCTGACGCCCAAAAGTGTGAGAGAAAGACAGAAAGCTCTGTTCAGCCTGCAGCAGGGCACACCCAATTCGGCCGGCCTGATTGGCTCGACTGTGTCGTCCAATTTTCCAATTTCTCGACGGACCATTTAGAACCGCGTCCAGCGGTCCAGCGTCCCCAACGTGGCGCAGCCTCTTCCACCTGACGAGCCCTTGTGCCCTTGGCAAGCCTTGGCAAGCCTTGGCCTCCCCTCTGAATTGCTTTCAATTAATCTGGCTGCATTAGAACGAGTAAGCGCATTCAGCGGACGATAGCGATTATCCAACTGCGGCTTGCTCTATTTTCGGCGCGTCCATCCACGGGGGACAGACTGTTGTGGCGCGGAAGAAGTGGAAGCGGCGAAGCGCACAGTGGGCCAGAAGATCGGCCGTAGGCGGCCGAAATTCTAGACGCGTTTTGAGCTCCAGCAACAAAAATTGAATTCAGGCGCGGAAAAAAGGGGGGGGGGACAATGGGGTTTTTGACCCCCCCCCATAACCCCTAGATAGCCGCCTCAAATTTAGGCACAAAATGCCAAGTCACCCCCCCCCCCCTTTCCATAGGCCGCCTCTGGATCCGCCACTGCTTGAACTGAACATGTGACCCCATCAATGGATAGCTCTCCGAACGAGGAATCCATTGATGGGGTCAAGCGTTCGGTTACAGTCCCATTTAGTGACCCTGGAGCTCAAAACGCGTCTAGAATTTCGGCCGCCTCCACCGACCTTCTGGCCCACTGTGAAGCGCGGCGCACGGGAGCTGGGCCTTCAGTCTGTCAGTCTGACAGTCCAACAGCCGCGCTCCAGCGGCAAGTGCACGTCCCAGCCCGTCCCGTCCCGCTCCGCGTTGCGAGCGGTGCGAGTCGCTCGGAGCGGTCGCGTGCGCGATTGTTTGTGACGGTAAAAGAGTTGGAGGGGGAGGGACGGCGGCAGCCCACACAGCTGAGGCGCAGGGCACGGCGGGCACGTCTCTATTTATACCGCCTTGTTTACTAATCCCGCGCAGCAGTTTTACGCGCAGTACACGACGAGGACGAACCCTGCCTGCCGCCAAGGCGGGGCGGGGCGGGGCGGGGCAGGCCGCCGGTTCCGTTCCAATCCTCGGACGCTGGACCCGCCTCGTCGCGGTGACCCCCGCGCTGCTGGCCGCGCCGCCCAGGACCGCGACGACGACGCATCTCTGCGACGGCCGGCCGCGGCGCCGAGAGCAGCGCGTCAGCCGCGTCGGGAGGCGGCCCGCCGCGGCGCGGCGCCGGATGGGTTGCCTACGCGCGGGCCGCAGGCGGACCGTCGCACCGCACCGCGCACCGCACCGCGCACCGCACCGCGCGTCCCAAACGACGCTCGTTCACCTTGGCCGCGACGAAACGGAAAAAAGGGTAGGGGGAACCGTAGTAGTTGTTGGTCAGCTGGCAGTAGGATAGAAACGGCAGTCTTCGTCCAGATCTGGCGAGCGACGACCGCCGGCTTCGGTGAGTGCGTCATCTAAAGCAACTGTCACTGGTTGAAGAAGGCGCGACGTCGATACTCCTCGGCACGCGACAGCATGGCGACAGGCAGCGGACTGTCAGCAGTCCGACTGCGGACGGCATGCGGTGGGTGTCCGCACCCATAGCCTTAGAGCGCCACTCTGCACTAGAATGCGCGTAAAAGGTAATGCATCGTTGCATTCAAAGCGCGGAGTGCTCACGACATGCGCAAAATGCGCTGAAAATACGATGCATGACATTGTACGTGATTTTCAACGCAGAGCGCTGGGCCGTCCCCAGGCGTGGAGGGTCTCCAGGACCACGCCTCGCCGCGCCAAACTTTGTTTCGCAGTGTGGCAGCGCCCACATGTGCGCGAGTGTCAGTGTCAGTCGTTGTCGGCGTGCTCCTATTGCGCAACCGCTCGTTCCGCTTCGCAGTAGCGCCAGGTCCGCCGGGCCAGATCTGGCCGCTGACGCGGTGCGCGTTGTTTATCTGGCTCTAATCAGGTTCTGGCCGGTTCTGGCTGGGGCCCCGCGAGGTGGGCCGCTGCTTATCATGCCAGTCGACGCCGCGCCGATCGCGACCTCCCGCACAAAAGCCCGCGGCCGCCACTGTCGGCGTTGGGACCCCGGGAGACGGACGCCGCTGCTCGCAACTCTCAAGCCACTCACTTTGCTCCAGGAAGATGATCCGGACCGTGGACTCCAAGGCGGGCTGGTGCGGTCGCGGTGACAAGAAGCGCGTGTTCGAGAACCACAAACCCGTCGTGTGCTACGACAAGCCGCCGGCAGCGCAGGTACGGCATTAGTACGAGCAGAGCAGACCACCACTAGAGTCCTGGATTTAGTGGTGAAGAGAAATCCTTGCTTTTGGCCACTACGTTGAGTCGCGTGGGTTTTTAGAGACTGTCCTCACGCTCTCCGAGAGCAACGCTTACTTTGAAACCTGTAGCGCTTCTAGCGCCTGATAGGTAGGCCTCCGGCTCGTCCAGCAACGCACCGGTGCGGAGACGGTGGCCTACACTGCCCCTGCCGGCTTCAGGGGCGAGGTAGGCCACCGTCTGCACGCCCGTGTGGTGCGGGACGGACTGGTGGCCTACCTCACAGGCGCGAAAGGGTGCACAGGGCGGCCGCCGAAACCTCTCGGCGAAACCGTGGTGCGACTGACGTTTCAAGATACGCGTCACCCAGGCATAAAAGACCACAGCGTCAAGATGACCAGGGAAATAGAAATGCCGAACAGACTTGGTAACGCAATTTGCTGTTAGTCACCGAATGGCTGACATGGTTTCTGCTCCAGGTTGACCGGGCCGAGTATGACGGCAAGAGGAGCGCCGCACTCCTGGGGGACGTCGTGCAGGACTTCGTGGTGCCCAAGAGGTCCGCGATGACGTGGACCATGCAGCAGGGCGACCTCTGCCGCATCACTCTGGTCGCGGGATCGCAGGTAAGCCAACTGACGAAGTGACGACGACGACGACGACGACCCAAAAAAGGGCCAAGTCTTTGAAGGAGTCCGCGTGCCTCTGCAGGTGGGCGACATGAACTTCTGGAACCTGGACAACCCGGCCGAGCGCTTCTACTCGGGCAAGACGCGGCAGCTGCACTCGTCGCACCTGTCCACGTACGACCGGCTGTGGAGCGTGCTGCCCTACCTGCGGCCCATGGCCACCGTCGTGGCCGACTCCATCAAGTACGGCATCGACGCGGACGGCGCGGGCGTGCACGACGTCATCGGTGAGCAGCCAGCCGAGCCGAGCGCACGCCCGAGAAGACCGGTGGGGGCGGCCGGAACTCTAGACGCGTTTTGAGCTCCAGAGGCGCAGAAAAGGACTCGACGTCCGTCTTCGTCTCTCAGATGGACTCTGGCTCTGAGTTGTCTCTGTGACCCAGGCACACGCTGCGACGACTACACCTACAAGCTCATCACGGGCGAGGAGCGCTGGGGCTCGTGCCACTCGTACCTCACGAAGGCGGCCAAGGAAGCGGGGCTCAGCGAGCGGGACGTCCACGACGTCTGGAACATCTTCATGTGCACGGGCTTCACCAAGGTGCGTGTGATCACGATTTCAATCATCTCGGTCCGTCCTCAGGGTGTCCCCGTCGCACAGTGGGTCAGAAGACCGGCGGAGGTGGCCAAAACTCTAGACGCGTTTGGAGCTCCAGAGTCGCTAAACTCACCTGAAACCGACTTGATCTGACTGTTTGCTGCAGGACACCCACCAGTACTTCTGCAAGCCCAGCCCGGCGCGGCAGGGCGACTACATCGAGTTCATCGCCGACATGCCGCTGCTCGTGGGGCTCAGCACGTGCCCGCAAGGTGACTCCCTTTCTTCTAAAAGCGAATTACGCTTCCTTTGCGTCTTCACTGTGCTGCTATTTTTGTTGTTTCTTTAAAGGTGATGTTTCCACGCCTGTCGGTCAGGTAGTACCTGAAGAATTGTGTCACCCCCTTGGAGTGCAAGTGTTCAGAGCCAAGTGACAAAAAGCGGCTCAAAATTCCTGCTTTTATTTTTTTTAAATCAGATAAACGATAATTTTTCAATAAAAACTTCAACATCAACGCATAATCTTTTTTCTCGAAGCCTATCACAGATGCCTGGCTTTTTAAGAAATTACTGGCTGATTTGATCCAACAGCTGATGGGTCTACTGATTTGACTTATTGGTTTTTAAGGGTTTACATGAAAGCCCTAAAAAGCGCCACTGGGCATGTAGAGCCTTTTGCAGAACTCGAAGGAGGAGACTCGAACGCCGGTTTCCCGGCGTCCCGGGCTGGGGGTCGACGACTCTACACCACGCCTCCGTCTCACTGTTCCGAAGCGCGACGACGAGGGGTATCGCCACTTTCGCCGCCACTACTCCCCGCGAGCGGCGACGCGGCGACGCGCTTGGCCTACATCCTACATCGGAGTCTACACCCCGCACGTCGCGCGCGGACTGCGCCAGAGGGCGCGCGCTACCTCGCGAGAGTGGGTGGCTCGCGGGGGCGGCTGGTGGCGGGGAAGGCGGGAGGGGGAAGGAGGGGAGAAGGAGGGGGAGGGCAGCGACAGCAGAGGGGTGAACAACCCCACCGACTCGGCGGACTCGGCCAGCTTCACCTCCGCAGGCCTCAGCGTCCGAAAGCGGGCCGCGAGCGCCGACCTCGCGTCTCCGTCGCCCCCGGGGCGTCGCGAGCCGCGCGAGCCCGTGGGAGGGAGACGAGGGGCCCGGCCGGCGCTCGGCCACGCTCGGCTCACGCTCGGCCACGCTCGGCTCACGCTCGGCTCACGCTCGGCTCACGCTCGGCACACGCTCGGCTCACGCTCGGCTCACGCTCGGCTCACGCTCGGCTCGGCTCGGTTCGAGATCGCGGCTCGCGGCGGCCTCTCCGTCGCACCCGTGAACATGGAATGCGCGAATGCGTTCGGAGACGGCGGTGAAGGCGGTGAACCTCCCCGCCGTACGTTCGGGTTCGGGAAACCAAGGGACAGTCCGGGACCAAGACCTTACTGGGGCTGCACTTCCTAAACGCTGCAAAAAGAAATTCCCTCCCGTCCCCGTCCTTCCGGGCACTCAGTGTCCTTCATGTCTCGTAAATTGCGGCGGACAAAGACACTGCCATAAACATCCGAAATTTGGAAAAACGGACAAACGAAAGGGCTGTTTATCTTGATCGACGATTCCCTCTCCAGGCATGTTTTTCCCTCCGTCGCTGGAGCTGTGCCGGGGAGGGGATGTCTGTTTGCGAGGTGAATGGGGGAGGGGCGGGTGAAGGGGCGGTTGAAGGGGAGGCGGGGGAGAGGGTGCGTAGGGTTGGGCTCGTACCGGGCCGCGTTGGGAGTCAGCGCGCGAAATGGCCGCCCCCTCCTCCGCGCCTCCCCGCCGCCCCACAGGCCCACCACCCCTTCACCGCCCCACCGCCCCTCAGCGCCGCGACGCTCCACCGTGGCTCCACCAGGCTACGCCAGCTACGCGGGGCCTAGCTGGGCGTCGCTAGGCGCCGGATCGATATGCGTCCGGGGGGTGGTCTCCGCGGCGCCGAGGCAGCCGCCTCTCGCGTCCTTGTCGCACTCGTGGCGCCGCGGCCGCCGCGCGACGGAGAGAGATGCTGCGCCGGGGGGTGGGCCCGGCCTGCCTCTGCCCGGGGCTGCCTGCCTGCCTGGCGGGCTGCCCGGCTTGCCGCCTGGCGTCAGAGCGCGCCGCGGCACGTCGCAGGCAGCGCGTCGCCGCGTTGGTCGCGTCGGCACCGAAACCCGAAGCACAGCGTCGAGGTGCAGCCCCGGCACACCCCGCCCGGCTCGGCTTCAAGACCCTCCTGGTGCAGCATGGCGGCGCGCCGGTAGCGGCGCCGTCGAGCGCCTCGGCCCGCGCGATGGCGAGATGACGCTGGCCGCGGAATGAGCCTGAGCTTCCGGACGAGGGGGCCCGGTCCCCCGGCCCCCGGCGCCGTCCCTTGGCGCGGGGCTGGCGGGGCTAGCCGGCCGCGGAGATGGACTGCCGCCGTGGTCCTGGCGGTCGTCGGCGTGCTGCTGCTGGTCAACGCGGTGGCCGGCGAGACCAACAAAAAATGTGAGTAGCGTTTTTGGGTTCCCTAACCTCTCTGTGGTGCGCCGGCCGGAGTATTGCCGCGGCGGCGTTTCGCGTTTCGCGCCCTGGCGGCCGGGCGGCCTGCCAGGCGGCCTGGTGGAGCGCGGCGGTGTCGCGTGCCTGGCCGCGGCATCGCATGTCGCGCGGACGGGCCGGCGGGCCGGCGGGCGGCCAATCATGGCGGGAAACAGAAACAGACGCGGACTTGGCGCCCACTCGGCCCACTCGGGGCAACGCAATGCTTGAGGAGGAAACACATTGTTATGGGGCGTGGGGCGCGCTGCACGCACAGAAGTCCCGCCCGCATTTTTACGGATTGTTGCGTGGTCGAGTTGTCCCCCTCTTGGTCAAGCCGGACCAACTATGTGACGGAGCCGCGGACTCCTCAACCAGCCGACTGTAGCTGAGGGGATGGAGAGATTAGGGGCAGTGCAGCGAAGAACACTCACGTTTTGAGAGCAGCGGTCGTGCAACCCGGTCCAGCGTGTACCCATTGCAACGCGGTGCTGTCTCGCAGTGTGGCAGCCGTGTGGTCGTGTTGCTGCGGTCGCTCGGACGCCACGCACGGCGCGCGGCGCACGGCGTGTCAACAAGCGCCATTTCAAACACCGCCGCCACCCCTCGCCCTCCCCTACCCGGAGGCCGTTGGCTGTCGTTGGCACTGTGAGGCACTGCCGGCTCAGCCCCGCTCTGCCGCTCTGCATGCGTGTACACTGTATTATTCGTCGCGCAGTACAGGGTGTCGCGCCCCGCGCAGAGCCGTTGGCAGCATGCGGGATGGCCCCGATGGCCTGATGGCCCGATGGCCTGATGGCCCGATGGCCCGATGCCCGCCTAGATTCCCCGCGAGGCTTTCCATTCGTTTCCCCGCGAATTCCGATGGGGTATTACGTGATTGCGCAAGCGTGATGCCCGCTGCAGCAGAACCAGGCCCTGGTCCAGGACCACGTCCACGGCCTCGGACACGACGGGGACGTGCTGCGCGTCGCGTCCGCCGCCCCGCCCCCAGCGCCGCGTCACTGCGGCCGTAATTTATTTTGGCAGTGTAGGGCCCGTTGGGTACAGGCAGCAGCAGCAGCTCGCCAGTCAGCCAACTGTGCATAGGTTGGAGGGCAGGACTATTTGTTTCAATTTGCCTGCCAGCCCGGAAGGCAGTGGGCGGGGGCCGCGGGGGCCGCGGGGGCGGGGCAGAAGGGCGCATTTAGTGCGTGCACTGTTTTTCGCTGTTTTTTCTGCGTGCCGGGAGCGGGGCGTAGCCTGGCTGGCCTGGCGTAGTCGTGGCGCGGCCGAGATGTCAGCGGTGGAGAGGAGGGCTGGAGGATGAGGGCGGTGAAGGCCGCGCGGAGACAAAGTGCCCCTTCCCTTCACTGCGGCCCGAATTTTAGAGTGAGCGAGGCGTCTTGTGCCCGGTGTGCGCGTCGGACCGTTCGTCACACTGGTTGAATGCTGGCTAGCCGACCGCCCGCCTCCAGGATAGATCCGGTTAAGCACATCGGATAGCGCGTCTGATTCCCATTCCGAGCGGCGCGGGTTCGATCCCACCCGAGTGCCGCTATACTTTTTCCCTGCTGAGCCATTGTGCGGCCGAAGACCTCCACTCCACTGCCATCTCCGCTCGAAATGCAGTGCAGGCCCGTGGACTCCACGTTGGCGGCGATAAAAACGACAATGTCGCTCCGCGCACCGATTACCCCCGCGGCCCCTCCCCTCCCCCACCCCCTCCGCCCCCGCTACAAAGTATTATCCGCTCGGGTTGCAAATTTGCCGCTCAGAGTTCAGAAACGCTAAAAATACGTAGCACCGCCGAAAGATAACGCGCCTCGGTCATAAATTGAGAGAAGGCCACGCCAAAAGTGCCTGCCGGGTTAGCGCGAGCGAGCAAGGCTCTGTTCCGACTTTTGAACTGAGGGACGCGTCGACGCGTCACACTGCCACGCCACTGCAAGGCGCAGTGACTTGCAGGTGGGCCAGCCAATGACGGGTTGACGGCGCGGTCGCGTCTTGACGTTAACGCGCCAACTTTAATGAAAGGTTAACGCCGTTTTCGCAACGGCGAGGCGGTCGTTTCGGATCGAGCAAGCGTGAGTGAACCTCCCCCGCGGCCGGCGGAGAGCCGCGCTGCTGTAGCCTCGATCCTGCGGCCTCGGTCCGAGTCCCGGGGCCGAGCTGGGCCGAGCTGGGCCGAGGGTTGGCAACAGTTGCACGTCCAATGGAAGACTCCGCGAGGCCGCAGGCGGGCCAGGCAGGGCGAGTGGCACCATGGCGACGCGGCGTGCTCGGCGGCATCCCGCTTAGATTCTAATCAAATTCCGATTCCAAACATTATTTAATAACCTTCTCGATGGGACGGGGCATGGCGGCGCGGACGAAATTAAAATGGCATCAGAGGCTCGGGGGAGGGGGGGTTGGGGGGGATCTCTCTAGGGCCAAAGGGACAGATTGGTAGCGAGCAGCAGTGGCGCGGCAGCAGCGGCGGCAGGGGCAGCAGCACCTACCCGTCAGTCACTAATGAATATGTAGCCGCTGCGGTGGCGGTCTTGGAGGCGGCCGACGACCGAGGTGGATGCTGGCGGTCTTGGAGTGGAGGGGCCCGGCTGGCAGTGGCGGCACGGCGGCGGCGGCACCTTTCGGCGGCTGCACGAACGGGGTAGCAGGCGGATTGAGCCGGGTGGAGGAGGGCCACGCGGCCGCGCTGCCTGGCGCAGTATCTTTTCCCTCCTTATTTCACGCCACCCCGCCGCCCCGCCGCGCCATCGCCGCGTCGGTAAATGAGGAATTTTATCTGTGCAGCGGGGCGGCCGGGGGCGGCCGGGGTGCGAAATGGGAGAGGCAGTGGCCGAATAATGAAAATGCCTCACGCCACAACAGTCTTCGAAGGTATGAGGCATTGCGGTGAGACCTGGAGGAGCCAGCCAGAGGCGATGAAAATCAGACTCCGACTCCGGGCGCCGCGCCGCGCCCGCCTCCTCCTCCCCGCCCTTCGCTTCCCCGTGATGTATGACCCCGGCACCCCGGCAGCTGAGGCTGGCGTCCGAGGGCTTATCTGCTGGGCTGGTGCCGTGCCGCGCCGTGCCATACCGTGCCGTGCCGTGCCGCGCCGCCTTCAGCCGATTAGCCCTCATCGCCCGAAGGCTCACGCGTCGGACGTGACTGCAAAACTTTCTCGCCTTTTTATGCCGTCGTTCCCCTGTTGTCCTTTTTTCGGCGTGCGCATGACACTGTGCCAGTGCGCCCCCTCCCCTCCCCTTCCCCGTGCCGTGCGGCGCGGTGCGGCGTCCGGGGCCGAGGTAGGGTCCTCCTCCTGAGGGTTGTGCAGCAGCTCAGCCCGACCCAGCCGGCACACTGATTCGCCGGGTCTCTGTCGCACTCACGGGGCGCACTGGAAGGGTGCAAGAGAGACCATGGGTCGGCAGCTGGCCGCAATCGTCGTGGTGGCCGCGGCCGGGCCGGGTCGCCTCGCCGTCGGGCTCCTCTTTTGCCTTTGCTCTGCCTTTGCTCCGCCTTGCCTCCGCCTTGCCGTGGTCCGTCTTCGGCTTCAGCTTCGGCCAAGGCTTCAGCCAAGGCTGCAGCCTCCCTTGGCTCTTGGCTCGCCTTTGGCTTTTGTTATCCGTCCAGGCCACTTCCCTTGGCGGATGCTGGATCTGCGTGGCGCGCGCCGAGCCAGCCGAGCCAGCCCGGGCCGTCTCTTTTGTGCCAACGAAATATGCGCATCGCAGAGTCCCCCTCCCCTTCCCCGCCTCCACGGCACTGCCATCGGGCCCATGTCCACCCCAGCGCCGCCACCCCGCACCCCGTCGGCCCGGCCTGCCGGTGCCCTTCCTCGCGTCGTCCAGGAGCCGGGCCGCCAGCCGCCGCCAGCCTGTGTCCTGGGGTCTCCTGGAACGGCGGGCGGACCTGGGGTCAGGGTCCTGGGGCACATCGCCTCCGTGGGGCGCGGCGGCGCGGCGCGGGCACGGTGCCAGCGCTGGCGGTGGAGGGGCCGTGCCAAGGGCTGTGCGCTGCCGGGGCGGGGCGTGGGGCGGGCGCAGGCGGCCCGGGCCGCGCGAATTAGAGACCGCCAGGGAGCGCCGCTAAATCGTTTTCCCCTCAGCGATGAGCCGCTGGCGGCGCAGTGCGCGTCCGCCGCCAAACCGCCAAACCAAAGCTGCCAAAGCCGGCCCGCGGTCCGACCTGCCTTGTCTCCCCGCCTTCCCCGTGACGTCACGCGGCACGGGCGTGCGTCTTTGCGGTGCGTGCTGAGGTCGATAATATGCGCTGGGCGCGACGTGCGTCGTGCGTGGTCGTGCGGCGGGGCGACATCCTGCCCGGCGCGGCCCGGCGTCACGCTGCACGCCCTGCACGCCCTGCACGCCCTGCACGCCCTGCACGCCCTGCACGCCCTGCACGCCCTGCAAAGCCCTGCCCCCGAGGCCCCCCGGCCCCACGTGCACGCCCTGCACGCCCTGCAACGCCCTGCACGCCCTGCACGCCCTGCACGCCCTGCACGCCCTCACCGAGCACGGCGACGTGGTGTCGCTATCGGGTACCGCGGCGGGGCGCGGCCAAGTGGCTTTGTCATCATAGTCGCCGTGTTCCGCGTTGGCGGCGGAGCGGCGTGCATGGCGCCTCAAATCAGGAGGTGGGGTGGGCTGGGCGGGGTGGTGAAAAGAGCGCCCCCTCCCTCCCTTCCCTTTCGTGTCGGCTCCCTTCAAACTGTTCTTTTGGCAGGTCGTTGAAATTCCTGAGCCGATGGGCAAAGCCCTGACACGATCCCTGCCCCCCAACCCCCTCTGGGGAATTGATCCCTGAAGCCGATCCCACGATGCACCCCACCGATCCCCGGGCCCCGCGCGGTCTTTGTTGCGTCTTGTGGTGGCGCGGCTGCGGGGTGCGGGCGCGAGGGGGATGGAACGATGGAGCGGCGCCGAGCGTGGCGGGGCGTGGCGGGGCGTGGCGGGGCGTGGCGGGGCGTGGCGGGGTGGGGAGAGGCGGGGCGGGCGGCG